CATATACATATTCCAATTGAATATTTTGACCACCCTTTTATAAGGAATGAGATATCCTATGCACCAGAGGATTAATTGAACATCAGCTTCTAGTTGCCTCTACAAGAATGAAGAGGAATCATGTAGCTTAAAAAATGATACAAAATAAAATAAAAGCAATCTGTTTAGTGAGTCATATGTTGTATAGACCTAAGTTGTAACTATTTATGATTATTTATTTTGTTTATATATATTGATATAGCTACACTGATGTAGTATCTCCTTTAAAATATAATAGCTTGTATAAAGGGAATCTCATTAATGAAGTACTGGTTGTTTTCTAGGGCAAGCACCCAATTATTTTGTGTGTGTGTGTGTGTGTGTGTGTGTGTGTGTGTGTGTGTGATTTATTTGTTCGTTCGTTCGTTCGTTCGTTCGTTCGTTCGTTTGCTTGTCTGTCTGTCTGTCTGTCTGTTTGTTTGTTTGACTTCTATGCCACCCACCTGGCTGCAAGGCCACTACTAAGCCTTATGTAATTATAAATCAACTTCTGGATGCTGGCCATTTTGTGCAAGAAATGCGGGTGGACTGAGAATCACAGAATTACAGAATTAAAAGGGGACTCAGGGGCCACAGAGTCCAACCTCATAAGGAAGCAGGAAACCCGCAGTCAAAACATCTCTGGCAAATGGCTGTTCAAATTCTGTTTAAAACCCTCCAAGGAAGAACAGCCCACCACTATTTGAGGCAGTCTATTTCACAGTTGACTAGCACTTACTGTCAGGAAATTATTCCTGATTTTTTAGTCAAAATCTCCTTTCTTGCATTTGAATCCATTAGCTAAGGTCCTACTCTCTAAAACCATAGAAAACATGCTTGTTCTATCTTCCATATGACAACACTTCAAATATTTAAAAATATCTGTGACTATCACCTCACAGCCTTCTCCAGATTAAATACACCCAACTCTCTCACCTATTCTTCATAGGGATTGGTTTCCAGCTAAGATACTTGCTCCTGCATGGTTATTTCAGGCAAAGGAGCCCTGCTCTTCTCTTTTGCCTCTAGGCGACGTAATCATAGCTCATGTTTCTGCATCGTAAAAACTACTTTGGAGTTTCCACTGTGGCACTGAATCAGAATCGATTGGTGCAGTGTGAGAAATTTATAACCATCTCACCTTCTATGTCACATTTGACAATAAATATCTATTTTCCCTGTGATTCTGAGGAGCTGGAGGTCCAGCTTTTAAGGACTCACCTGGATGACATTGCTGTATTTCACAATTTCACCTAGCAACTTTCTGTTTTCACATTCATTCTGTTTTTGTTCTAATTCCGCTGCATGCTGGAAGATAAATCATTGTTATTGCTGTTTTAGTCAAATCAAAGATGGCTACCAGAGCTCAGACTTTAGAGCATTTAAGAAACCACTCCACAAGACATGTGGAACAGCTCAGAGAGATGCTTCTTGTTGGAGATGGGCGGTTGGAACAGTTTTAGAAGATGATATGAAGTGGAGAAGTGGAGACCAATTGATAATCCTGCCATCATGTCCTGCGCACTAGGATGATCCAGAATTGATCCTGCCCTTCCTCTGACGTGTCAGAGGAAGGGCAGGTATTTCAAATACTTTTCAAAGTGCTATCATATCTCCCCTTAGTCTTCTTTTCTCAAGGCTAAACATGCCCAATTCTTTCAGTCTTTCCTCATAAAGAGGAATGTTCAACCTTAGTGTTCTTTTCTTTTTTAAAAATAAATTGTTATGGTCTGAATTTGTATGGTGAAAAATACTCAGTTGTAAAAGATGGTAATATATACATACATAAAAGATTAAAATGATGCATATTTAAAAGTACATGAAGTATATGATAAAAAGGTGAAATTTATTATTGGCTACATCATATGCAAGTTAATCACTGTCTAGGATTTCTGCCCAGCAGTGTTTTGCACTCAATAGAATGCCGTAGCCATGCTGGCGGTGGATTGGGAATGTTTTAAACACAAAAGATTCAACTTTTCCAAACTTTGAATGGACATATTTTGTGGGGGTGGGGGAATGAGTACAGTCGTATTTTCCAAGAAACAAAGGAAAATAAAAGCACTGGTATTTAAGTCATGCAAGAGTACCACTTCCCAGCAAGGGATATGCTAGCTCAAAAAAAGTCATGTTTGCCCTAACTGTATTTATATGAATGCACAAACCCAATTGCTGCAGGAAAAGACTAAACTCTGGGAACGCTGGTGTCTCTTACTTGCAGCTTCTTCAGCAGGGCTGCTTCTGTGTGGTTCCCTTGTTTTGCTTGCTTGGCCTTCCAGTATTGCTTCTGTGCAGAGTATCGGTTCATAGGACATACTTTAAAAAGGCAATCTGAAAACAAGGAGACAACATCCATTTTAAAGTGACCTATGTCGAAAGACACCTCCCTGTTATTTCTTTGCAGTCTGTGTATAAGAGCCTGCATATGTGTTTGATCAGTCCGATCCCCCACAAAACAACCTCTCAACGCAAGTTTCACAAACACAAATTAAATGCAGTTTCTGCCCTCATCAGCCCATGTACACACATCATGATAAACCAAAATGCAGGTTGCTGATATCTGGCTTCTTGTGTTTTACAAGACTCCCTCATGGGCAATCCATCAGTTGTTAAAAGCAGCGTATGGTTTGATCTGTTTAAACCATAACTTCTGATGACATCTAAATTTGAAACCATGGCTTGTCCCTTATTTGTTTACAAAATTAACCACTGTGAAGCAGGAACTGCCAAAATGGGACAGAGAGAAACAAACTAGAAATAAAGAAGATAAGCCACCATCATCATCATCTTGTTGTTGTTGCTGTTTTTCCCCGCCTTTCTCCCTAGAAAAGGACCCAAGGTGACTTACCATACTTAAAGAAAATACTGAAGAACAAAACAATGAGTACATGAAAGTGGCGTACATCATTAAAAGGGAATATTAAAGCGAAAAACAGTAAGTATAGAACTATTTAAAAATCAGAAACACAAGAAATACTAACAACACAGTCAATGCAGTAATTGACAATCCTATTAAAAAGGAACACGCAAAATACCCCTCTTAGAAATCAGAAACACAAGAAATACTAACAACACAGTCAATGCTGTAATTGACAATCTATTTAACAAGATCATGCTCAGGCAGCCAGTCATTGAGGAAAAGCTTGCCTAAAGAGAAAGGTCTTTGCTTGCTTGCAGAAGGACAACAAAGATGGGGCCAGTCTAGCCTCCTGTGGGAGGGAGATCCAAAGTCTTGGAGCAGCAACAGAGAAGGCCCTCTCTTGTGTTCCCATCAAATACACTTGTGAAGGTGGTGGGACCAAGAGAAAGAAACTAAGATTACCTTAGTTTGTCTGTCATGTAATCCGTGTCTTAGTCAAGTGAGTATGGTTACCACAGCATATTGTGACATGTGAATATGCCTACTGTGTTAGTAAGAAATTTATATCCCCATCTCAGCTAACCTGTAATGGTTTTCAAACTTTCTAACTTTAGAGGAGCATTTTATTGCTGGGAAATTCCTATGTGTGTCTGAAGATTCTGTAAATGTTCTAGGATACACAACACACTCAATTCACAGTCCAAATGGGCCTCGCAGTTGTTCCACTATGAATTAAGAATGTGTTGTAGTCAACACAAAAAACTCCCATTAGGCTGGTTTTATACATAAGGGGAGAAAATCACCATGCCAGGCAAGCTGTCTTTCAGGAATCTTGTGCACTATAATTCAGAGCAAGGAAAAGTTTCTTTTGGATTACAAGGCGCAGAATCCTCCAGCCAGCATCTCAGAGGATTCTGGGCAGTGCAGAGCAAAATAAGGAAAAATTCCATGGTATGTTTTCAGAAGCAATATTCAAAACATCCTGTTGTTCCTCCTCCCCAGTGTCCATGTGATTTAAAGGATTACTAAAACACTGAACAAATAGCTAGCTTTTGAGCTAATCCAGTCTTCTTTACAATCTGTACCAATGTATTGTGGATAGAGCAGAAAAATGCACACATATATATGAGAGTCCCACAAATTCTTGGCAGATGTCTGTGCAAGACAGCTGCCAAGAAAGTGGAGGGGGGAAACAGGAATCAAAGCACTTTGATCCCATTCCCCTCCTTACTTCCATGTAAAAGATGACCCTCAATTTTTAATCTAAAGATTTTAGACAAAAGTATCATCTTATACACAGAAAAATACGGTATTCACAAACATATGCAGAATGCCACCAGCTTTCAATTAGCACTGGTGAGTCCATGCCAGAGCATCCCAATATGATTTAATCCCTGAGTGGTTTTATAATTTTGGCAGTGAGAGCCATGGATTCAGCAACCAGATGGGCAGGTTTCAGAAAGTCTCATCTTGTATTCTACATTCAAACTAGCTTTTAATTCTCTATTTCCTTTTGCCTCTCACAACAGTAGGTCCCTCACAGTCACTCAAAGGCTCTGGAAAACACAAGTAGATTCCTGTTAAAATAACAGGTAGCTAGCTCACTTTGGGCATTTATCCAAAATCCTCTTTGTTTTGCTGCTGTTCACAGGGTGGCTGTACTTTACACGAAAGTCACCATGCATTAGTAAATCAAAATGTAGATATCTTGCAACAGTATTTACTTTTCCTAGGGAATGGAAATGTATACAATGAAGTGGGGGAAAGCTTTACATAAACTAGGAAGGAACAGCAAGGGCACTTTGCAGGACTGTTACAAAATGCAAATGTGCTGCACTACACTGAAAGCCTTTTTTCCTCAGGACAAAAGAACTTCTGAAAACAGAATGGGAATTCTGTCCCATTCATCATTACCAGAAGCGTTTTCTTAAGGACATAGCTGACTTCAAAGCCACACACTTAGAAGTCAGAAACAAACTTTGGGTATTAAGCCTTTTGCAAGAGATTGTTCCTACAGTTTTGTTGCTGTTCATCTTAGTATTCATGGAGTCTAGGAACTTATCAATAAATAAACACTGAAGTTCTACTTGGGATCATTACAGAATATATGGCATTCTTTGGAACAGGTTTGTACAAGCCTTTCTGCTTTAAAAATGAACCAGAAAAAAAATTCAAGGAATTGGCATGCAACATTCTGGAGATTCTTAGCAGACAACCCGTCATCAATCGCCTACTCCTTACTCCAGGGTTTATGACACACTGACCACTCTGAAATTCTGTGATAACAAATGGGAAATCTTTGAAACAATGCACTCAAGTGCCATATATTTGACAATATGCCCACATACTTCATTTTTTAAAAAATATTTCCTTAAAGTGGGATAGAACAGTAAAGATCTGTATGCATGACACAGCCAAGAGAAGAGCTGATAGAGCTAATCATTCATCAGCCCTATCAGGATGACACCACACAGTAAACAAAGACGTGCAAGGAAGAAGCAGAGCTGTACCTGTTGACTCCACCACCATCACGCCCCAGGGAAGCACTGTTTTTGCTTTTCAGAATTTGCAACAACTTACCCTCCTGGCAACCAAATCATGATCTGGTAATTTTACTGGTGGTTCCCTTTTTAAAAGAATGTCCCCTAACGTGCCCGTAAACCTGAGGTCTAGAGAGAATTTCAGGGAAACTGTCTTCCTTTCCCCTTCCTCTATTCCTTTTATTTATGTATAGTTAAAATCCAACAACTTCAGAGTGCCTGCAGGTTTTTTGATTGCTAAGCATAAATCAAATATGATGGAAACTGTATGGCACTAAACATATTCATTTGATGAACTGGTTGGCAAAATGCCAGGACAGCCCCTAATGCCCCTGCTCCCCCACTGAGAATGCAGAGGAAAATGTTTGGAGACAGAAGCCAGCTCTGAATACATAGACTCCTCCCACAAGACAGAAACTTGAAGGACCTGCCTCTCAATTACAAGCGAAGACTTTTTGTATCGGAACACTTCCCTCTTATCCTAGGCTCATGGGTGTAATACACTGGAGAGCAAAGCCAATAGAAATGTGACTATAGGGAGGATGGCAATGTGTGCTGGGGTCGTCTCTTCTTCAACAAGTCATAATTAAGTGGTGGGTAAGGTCAAAAGAACATTGTCTTCACTAATGCAATCCCTTTTTCATTTTTGCTCCATGCCAGACTTCACAATGTTTTACATTTTTAGTAAATTCCCCACACAGTTTCAGATTCCTGCAACCTGAGGAAAATGGGCTGGTCAATTCTGGGGTGCTGAATCTCTGAATCTCCATCTTCCAAAAGTCAAGCAGAGTTACAGCTTCTCCAGAGTATCTTCCTGGAAGGCCAGGATGTTTTAATACTATCACTATAAATTTTTCTACTTTACCTTAATTTCTCATTGCCATAGCAGATTTTATACTAGAATACAAATGGTTTCAAGCACATATACATGATTAGGAAGCTTTGCAGAGACACCCCACCCATGCAGCTCTTTACAATGTTTACTAACATAAGAAAATGCATATTATATCCAGATAACATATGAATTGAGTGATTTCAAGCAGAACCATGGCAACTTCTACAATTTTTACTGTCCCTTTATTTGTTACATTAATCACAGCAGCCTAGTCTTGGTCCCTCCTTCACCTCATGGTAACTTAGGGTGTGAAATCAAGCAGATACAGTACTGCAGTTGGTTTATGTAACCTTATCTATATCTTTCTTCCTGCCAGTTAAGACAACTTCTCATTTAGGTGTGTTAATTATCTGTATCGTCTCAACTACAATGTGGCCAGAATTACATAGTTACACCCACTGTTGTTAGCTCCACTGGCATAAATTTGTGAATTGCTACAAGATAAGCACAGGCATTTATTGCCGTATATCATGTAGCTGGTTTATGTAACCTTATCTATATCTTTCTTCCTGCCAGTTAAGACAACTTCTCATTTAGGTGTGTTAATTATCTGTATCGTCTCAACTACAATGTGGCCAGAATTACATAGTTACACCCACTGTTGTTAGCTCCACTGGCATAAATTTGTGAATTGCTACAAGATAAGCACAGGCATTTATTGCCGTATATCAGTCATGTGACTCAGCACATTAACAGCAAATGCCTGGACTGATTTCTCAACATGCAGCAATTTGCAGCTTAAATTCACACTGGTGGATTTACCCTACTGTAATCTTTCCACTGTATTCAAGATCATCTCCTTTTTTGCAATGTTTGTAATAAACAGAATTATTTTTGTAAGTAAAGAAGAAGAAGAAGAAGAAGAAGAAGAAGAAGAAGAAGAAGAAGAAGAAGAAGAAGAAGAAGAAGAAGAAGAAGAAGAAGAAGAAGAAGAAGAAGAAGAAGAAGAAGAAGAAGAAACATTATTTCAAACCTTTCTGTCATTAGACTAGCATGTCTACTCAGTAGCTGACTTTTGAACTGCTAATACTACCATCTTTCAATATTCCAATTTCAAACATTTCTGTCTTTAGACTGGCATGTCTACTCAGTAGCTGACTCATGAATTGCTAATACTACCATCTTTCAATATTCCAATGGGGTTTGTTTTCCTCAAGATCAGTGGTTCTCAACCTTGTTCTTGGAATAAAACTCCCAGAAGCCTTCACCACTAGCTCTGATGACCAGGATTTCTGGGAGTTGCAGTCCAAACATATTATGAACCACTGATCTAGATCACAGATGATATTTCTGGGAGTTGCAGTCCAAACATATTTGGGAACCCTAGGTTATGAACCACTGATCTAGATCACAGATGAGGACTGTGTGGTCATCCAGATGTTTTTAAGTTGCATTTTCCACCATCTCTTTGACCCTGGTGATATGGCTTAGGGATTATAAAAGCTGCCATCCAGTATCAGAAGGATTACAAATTCCTGAGCCCTAATCAAGATAAAATGACTTATGGGTGGCACATAGCCATCTGATTCTAAGTTTAAGATGCTGGAACACGCTCCAGGGATCCTGCCTTCCAGTACATAAGATACTGATCACCTTAGGCAGAGGGAAGATTGACTGCATAGTTGTTCATATAAAATTAACCCTCAGTTGCTTACCTCTGAATTTCTTAGGAGGATTGCAAAGATCACCTGCTTCGGGCTGAACGACACATCTGTCATCCACCAGCCTGGAAGAACAATTGGAAAGTACAGTTTTCATTATTATTTTCCTATTCAAAGAACATGACAACCAATTTTATAACACAATCATAACCCATAGAAATAAGTATTCTCTCTATATCAATTTGCTGCCTTAAAATTGTGTGGCAAATATTTTCCCCTTTCAGTGCAAAAGAAAGCCTAGCAAGTGCAGAGACCTTTTATAGCTTGATTCTTCCACAGGACTTCAAAGAGACAATGCTACATGGTGAAACCAGCCCAGCCAACCCTTTTATGAAAAGCCAATGTAGGGGAGCTTACTTTTATATCACCTTGAATTAAAAGCTGCCACTGCCATTACCTCTCTGTCTCTCATCTATCCAAGTTCAACGAACAGTTAGAAAGGTTTCTGTTGTGGGGTCTGTTCCCTTTCCTGGGTTTGGGAAGTGCAATAAACAAAGGAAAGCGGGCATGGCATAATTTAAACCTGATTCTGTACATTCATCACATTATTTTACTTATCATTTTCCCCTAGGAACCACAGCAATAGCTGAATTTATAAAATAACCAAAGCAGACATATGGGATGACACCAACGGAGAACTACTGATTTTAGGAATAACAAATTGACTTGATTCTGTATGTAACCAAGCCAGGGTCTAGTAATATCTGCACCAAGGTCTAGAAGCAATATTGAAGTTCTGAGATTGCAGTCTCTCTCCTCCTTCAGTTCCCATGAGGCAAAGAGGACAACTCCTGCTGAATTTTAATTTCACTTATTGCAGTGTCTGGCTTGTTATGTACAAACTAAAAACTGTGGTTGAAGCAAACTCCAGTTTGTTATGTGAGCTATGAAAATAATCCAGAGTTTCTTGTTATCTTGCTTAGTAACCAACTAGAGTTCAATTTAAATCACAACTCCTAGCTCGTAAGGATTGATGAGCCAGGAAAATGGAAACTGCAGAACACAAGGCTAGATTAGACTCTAGATTAAATACAATAGGCACAGAGTCTGAGACCTGAGAGACTTTCAAGGACTTATGAAAAACTTTGGGACCTACAAAATAATTCCACTAAAATGAAGTATTATTTGATTTAGCAATTTTATTCAGATTTTATTCAACAAACAACATACAGGTATATGTTTTATATTAACTAGATCCAACAAACACAACAACAACAACAACAAACATCTTGTGGCACCTTTAACTGACTGGAATTCCATTGGTATTCATGTAAGGTTAGTATAACTTGCCACAGTTAACTGCAACTAATTGACAAGGTGCCATCTCAGTTGCACAACTGAGCACATGAGGCGGCACATGTCTGAGTTGTCCCCAAGCACTTCATCAATTAGCCACAATTAATCAAGTTATGCAAACATTACGTGAACACCAGTATGATTCCAGCCACAGGTTTCAAAGTCACCCTTTGTACATTACAAGCCACATAAATACAGACCCATAAACAGGGGGGAAGTGTACAGTAATGTCATCTTCAGGTAATGAGGCATAGCTCCAGCAAGAGTTTAGACTTCAAAACATCCACAGGAAACTCCCCCTAAAAGAGTCCAGAGCCTCTTTAAAAGAATTATGAAATGAAAATATTTATCTATAGATCTATCCTTAAAATTAGCTTTGAAAAGGTCTATGGTCCTACATATTCTTGGTTCAGTTCTATGCTATGGAATCATGGAGTTTAACACAAGCTAAAAAAAAAGGCAACGTTGTTTGCAGTGTGATGAAACAACAATGTTGCAATGATGTTTTATCACACAGTGCTAAGAGGTTCTTGGACCCAGAAGGTGACTATAAAAGAAGCATTCAAATGAATGCATCAGGAATCTCAAATACATAAAAATCAGAAAGCTAGAATACTTTGGCAATTGTGGTGGTGGTGGTGGTTATGAGCAATCAAGTCCCTCTAACTTATGATGACCCTATGAATGAGTGACTGCCAACAATTTGGTTACCTGATGAAAAATGAAACAAATAGATTGCTACAGCTTATTATTTCAGGGAAAGATAACTGGAAAAAAGATGTGCAAGATGAAAAAAAAACCTTACTGGTTGAAGCCAACAACTTGGTTACCTGATGAAAAATGAAACAGATTGCTACAGCTTATTATTTCAAGGAAAGATAACTGGAAAAAGATGTACAAGATGAAAAAAAAACCTTACTGGTTGAAGAATTTGGGGGACTGGTTTGGATGCAACACACATCAGTGTTTCTATCATAAGACTACCATATACTAAGCCAGCAGTGACATCTAAGCTCCAACAGAAGAGGAACAAGGAAAAGAAGAAGATCCATCCAGGGTGCAGACAGGAGCTATGACTATGAGAGAGCCTACGGCCTACAACGAGTTTTATCTGACCTAGTGCAAGCAGAAATCTTCCACAGGAAGAAGACTGAGGAGCAAAAAGTTCCACTTGTGCTCACAGAAGTTTTTGCATATAAGACTAAATCCTGATTTAGCATAACAATTAGAAACTTTTTTCCCCACACAAACCCTCGAATCTCCCAGCTATCAAGGATCCTTACTTGGCTGCTGGGTGCACAGAATACTGGACTGGATGGTGTTTTGGTCTGATCTAGTAGGACTCTTTTTAAATGCATAATGACTAGAATTATAAGGAATGCTCCGGCCTCCTGAAATGCACAGCATAAACAATAGGGAAACAGAATCTCCCACAACATCTTGCGGCATGAAGTGTTCTTTCAGCCATGCCTCGTCTAGTATATCCCATTACATTACCCCATAACATAACCATTTCATGCCCACTGTCCATACACGGTTCACATATGGCTGCTTTTGGCATCCCTGCTAATTTAGCCGATCTTCTGCAAGCCCTGGCATTCTTTTAAGCATGTTCTTACCACTTTCTTCTTCATGGATAGTCCTCTTTTCACTATATAGGATTCAGTACTTGTGGGATGAGCTCACTATTTCTTATACAGGATAATCTACTGGGCTAAGCCAACATGTTACCTTACTACAGGGGGGAAAATTTGGCTATGTGAAACCAACCCCATTAAACACTTTTTGTGTTTGATGAAGAATATAAAGAAAACAAAAGCCATCTACTCACACAACCTACAATTCTCTAAAGAGAAGAAGACAGACTAACAATGGGACTAAAAAGCTGAAATGAGAAGGCATGGTTATGAGAAGCTATCTGGATGTTAAGGAATTGAATAATTCGTAAACACTCAGAAAACATCTGCACAGCAGGATCTATTTGTTTATGAAGAAGTTTCCCAAAGGAAGTTATAGGCTTCCTCTCGATCGATATTTATAACCACACATTAAATAAATCAAAATTAAGACTGATTCAGTATCCGTGAATGACCCCAAGTCAGGACATTAAAAAAACTGGCATAACTTTTCTACCACCTTGCATGGATAATAGTTTTGGTAACAGTTCCTGAAAAATTAAAGCAGTGGTTGACCACATATAGCTTGCAGATAAGTTATTTTTTTTCTACAGTAACTTGTGCCTTAAAGGAAAATCACATTTCAGTACTGTACAAGTCAAACAGCATGAAGAAATTACCAGTCCGTTTCTCTCCCCCCCCACATGATACTTGTTCTTGCTGCTACAGACTTGTGTGTGACCCATGGCCATGAAGCTGTTACATTGGAACAATCTAACAACACATCCCATCAGCTTTAGTTAGGATAGTCAATGATGAGAGAAACTGCAAATGGCAGTCCCATAATATCTGCAGGGACTGGCGTTGCCTATCTCCATCTTACTGCAGAAAGCTGGTGACAACACCCTCACTACAATGTTAAATCCTTCTTCCTCAGCCCCAGTATTTTTCCTTTCCATTCTTAAAAAAAGATAAGCTATTTCTTCTCTCACACAAAAAGGAGGAGGAGGAAGAGGAGGAGACAGACATGCCAGTGCATTTGCAATACACAAAGCACTTTTTAAAAAGTATAATTCCTAAAAGTACCTCTTCTCATAGTCAACAGAGAGGGTTAAGGGGGCAGGATAAGAATGCAGAATGCACAGTTCTATCTTTTTTATGGGTGTGTGTGTGTCAAAAACTGGGCTTTTGTTACTGTATATTAACAGTCTACTGAATTTACCCATACAGAAATGCCCATCACTGATCATTAACTGTTGTAGTAAGTCCCAAAGTGTTTTCATCTACAATGGCATTTTGAAAACCAAATTCTCACACAAGACATGAACAACACTTTGAAAACCTAATTCTCAGACAAGACATGAACAATGTATACCAAAGCACTACAGAAGGCCAGTACTTGTGGCCAAAACAAACATACAGTAGCATGTGTTTTAGAAAGATGCTCTCTCAAGTGGCGAAAGACATGTGTTTGTCATAACACATGATCTTCCTCACCTTTATACTTTAGCGTGGTTTGTTTTTTGAGTGGCTTTTGGAGGTATACATGGTCTTAATTCACAAATCTGATTGCTGATGCGTGTATCGCAGAGGAAAACCATTTGTAAAAAGAAAACAAGCTCATTAGAGGGAGTAATTATTCCTATTAATGTCTGGTTTGACCACAGGATTGATGCAAAATGATATGGTCAAAAGTGGTTTCTAGTTTTTGCCTCTCAGATGACTGTACCTTAAGTGACTTGTGGTTCACACAAGGAACTATTTCAAACACCCTCGCTGGGACCATGAGCAATTCCAGGATATTATACGCAGCTCTTTTCATTGGCATTAACCTCTGATGTATTCTTAGATACAATTCAAAGTGCTATGAAAATCCTGATATCTTGGGACCAGGTTGTCTCTTTCTTTCCCCATGAACTTCATGTACTAAAGTCAGCACCTTGCAGCCCTGTTCAGTGATACAACTTGGAGGAACAGGAGAGAACACCTTCTTGGTGGTGGCACCAAAACTACTGAATTTCTTCAGTCTCCAAAGATGAATTGGCTCCTCCTCAGTTACATTTCAGCAGGACTGCAAACTCCTTAGATTCCACTGCACTTTTAATTCACTTTAACTTCCCACCATGGTGGCTGAATCAGTTCTTTTGTGTCTT